ACATTTGAGGAAATGAAAGATCAGTGTGTTAAGAGGGCAGTGGTGAGAGGTGAAATTTAAAAGGTCAAGATGGGACTCATGAGATTGTTAAGCCCTTTGCGCTTTGTATCAGGAGCAACAGGGTTTTTTAATTATTGGGAGTTTTTTAATAGACTGTTTTGTAAGAGTGATTTTAGGTTCACTGCAAAATTGAACAGAAAATACAGAGATTTCCCATATACTTTCTGCCCCTTCCCCAACCTACCTCTTTGTCAACGTCCCCCACTAGAGTAGTACATTCATTGCAATGAATGAACTTATCCTGACAAACCATTCTCGCCCAAAGTTCATAGTTTCCATTAGACAGAGTTCGCTCTTGCTCTTGTGCATTTTATGGGTTTGGATGAAAATGACAAGTTTATTAGTCCATTTTCACACTGCTATAAAGAACTGCCCAACACTGGGTAATTTATAAAGGAAAGAGGTTTAATTGACTCATAGTTCAGCATGGCTGGGGAGGCCTCAGGAAACTTACAATCACAGTGGGAGGTGACAGGGAAGCAAGGTACTCCTCTTCACAAGACAGCAGGAAGGAGGAGTGCTGAGGAGAGGGGGAAGAGCCCCTCATAAAACCATCAGCTCTTGTGAGAACTCATTCACTGTCATAAGAACAGCATGGGGGAAACTGCCCCCATGATTCAACTATCTCCAACTGGTCTCTCCCTTGACACACGGGGATTATGGGGATTATGAGGGTCACAATTCAAGATGAGATTTGGGTGGGGACACAAAGCCTAACTATATCAACATGTATCCACTACTATAATATCATACAGAGCAGTTTTACTGCCCTAAAAATCCTCTGTTCTGGCTATTTATCCCTCCTTCTTCCAATCCCTGGCAACCACCGATCTTTTTACTGTCTCCATAGTTTTGCCTTTTCCAGAATGCCATATAATCAAACTCATACAGTTTGTAGGCTTTCCAAATTGGTTCTTTCACTTAGTAATATCAATTTACATTCTCTCCATGCCTCTTCATGACTTGATATCAAGCTCATTTTTTCCTAGTTCTGAATAATATTTCATTGTCAGGATGTGCCACAGTTTATGCATTCACCTACTGAAGGACATCCTGGTTGCTTTCAAGTTTTGACAATTATGAATAAAGCTGCTATAAACATCCATGTGTAGGTTTTCCTGTGGACATACGTTTTCAATGCCTTTGGATAAATACCAAAGAAGGCAATTGCTGGGTCACGCACATGGTAGGAATATGTTTAGTTCTGTAAGAAACCACAAATGCCAGGTGCAGTAGCACACGCCTATAATTCCAGCACTTTGGGAGACCAAGGCAGGCAGATCTCTTGAGCTCAGGAGTTCAAGACCAGCTTTGACAACATGGCAAAAACCCATCTCCACAAAAAAATACAAAATTTAGCTAGGCATGGTGGCACACGCCTGTAGTCCTAGCTACTCAGGAGGCTGAGTGGGGAGGATTTCTTGAGTACAGGAGGTCAAGACTGCAGTAAGCCAAAATCATGCCACTGCATTCCAGCCTGGACAACAGAGTGAGACCCTGTCTCAACAACAAAAACAAAAAACGAAAAGAAAATCACCAAAATGTCTTCCAAGTGGCTATACCATTTTGCATTCTCACCAGCAATGAACGAGATTGCATCCTCACCAGCACTTGGTGTCATCAGTGATCTAGAGTTTGACCATTCTAATAGGTGTGTAATAGTATTTCATTGTCTCATTTTGCATTTCCTGATGATATATGACATATAGCATCTTTCATATGGTTATTTGCCATCTGTATTCAGCATCTTTTTAGGTGAGGCATTCATCAAGGTCTTTGGCCCATTTTTAAAATTGCGTTGTTTATGTTCTTATTGTTGAGTTTAAAGATCTTTTTGTATATTTTGAATAACAGTCCTTTATCTGATATATCTTTGGCAAATATTTTCTCCTAGAATGTGGCTTATCTTTTCATTTTCTTATTGGTGTCTTTTACAAAATGGAAAATTTTAATTTTAATGAAGTCCAGCTTATCAATTCTTTCTTTGATGGATCATGCCTTTGTTGTTGCATCTAAGCAGTTATAATCATATGATGTTAGCTGTGGGCTTGTAAAAAAAGTTATCATCAAACCCAAAGTCATCTAGATTTTCTCCTATGTTTTCTTCTAGGAGTTATACAGTTCTGCATTTTACATTTAGGACTCTGTTCTATCTTGAGTTAATTTTTGTGAAGAATGCAAGGTTTGGGTCAGACTAACATTTTTGCATGTGGATTTCCAATTGTTCCAGCACCATTTGTTGAGAGATCATCTTTCCTCCATTGTTTTGCCTTTACTCCTTTGTCAAAGACCAGTTGACTACTTATGTGGGTCTATTTCTAGGCACTCTATTTTATTAATAGATTTGTCTATTCTTTCACTAATACGACACTATCTTAATTACTGTAGCTTTATAGTAAATCTTGATGTTGGGTAGGGTCAGTCTTCTGACTTTGTTCATCTTAAATATTGTTTTGGCTGTTCTGGGTCTTTTGTCTTTCCATATTAACTTTAGATTTGGTTTGTTGATACCCACAAAATAACTTGCTGGAATTTTGATTGGCATCGTGTTGAATCTATAGATCAAGTTGGGAAGAACTGACATCTTCACAATACTGAGTCTTCCAATCTATAAACACAGAATATCTCTCCAATTATTTAGTTCTTTCTTTCATCAGTTTTGTAATTTTCCTCATATAGACTTTATATATATATATTGTTGGATCTATACCTAAGTATTTCATTTGATGGGATGCTAATGTGAATGGTATTGCGTTTTTAATTTCAGCTTTTATTTGTTGATTACTGACAAACAGGAAAGCAATTTAATACACATTAACCTTGCATTTTGCAATGCTGCTATACTCACTTATTAATTCCAGGAGGATTTTTTGTGGCTTCTTTCAGATTTTCTACAATCATGTCATCTGCAAACAAAGTTTTATTTCTTCCTTCCCAGTCTGTATACTTATTTCCTTTTCTTGTCTTAGCTAGGACTAAAGCTAAGTCTTAGGATTAGCTTAGACTTTCAGTGTGATCCTGAAAAGCAGTGATAAGCAGGGACATTCTTGCCTTGCTCTTGTTCCCGATCTCAGTGGAAAAGCTTCCACTTTTTCACTGTTAAGTGTGAGATTGGGTTCTAGGGGATTTTTTTTTTTTTTAAATAGAGATAGGGTCTCACTATGTTGCCCAGGCTGGTCTCGAACTCCTAGACTCAAGCAATCCTCCTGCCTTGACCTTCCAAAGTGCTGCAGTTACAGGCGTGAGCCACCGCACCTGGTCTCTTGGGGATTTTTTTTGTAGATATTGCTTATCAAGTTAAGGACAGTCTCCTATATTGAGAGATTTTAAGCAGCAGAGTGAATTAAGCAATTTCACGTTTTAGAAATAATTCTGGCTACAGGCTCACGCCTATAATCCCAGCACTTTGGGAGTCTGAGGGGGGACTCAGGAGTTTGAGACCAGCCTGGGCAACATAAAGAGACTCTGTCTCTACAAAAAAAATTTTTTTAAATTAACCAGGTGTAGTGGTGCATGCCTGTAGCCCTAGCTACTTGGGAGGCTAAGCCAGGAGGATCATTTAAAACCAGGAGTTTGAGGTTACAGTGTTATGATCGTACCAATGTAGTCAGCCTGGGTGACAGAGCAAAATCATGTCTCAAAAAAACAAAACAAAACAAAACAAAAAGACAGAAAAATCAAGTGTTGGGGTGAAGAAATTAGAACCCTCATATACACTGCTGGCAGAAATGTAAGGTGCTGCAACTTCTATGAAAACACTTTGGCAGTTTCTCGAAAAGTTAATCATAGAATTACCATGTGACCCAGTAATTCCACTCTTAGGTGTATACCAAGAAAATTGAAAATAAGGATTCAAACAGATACTTGTACATCAGTGTTCACTACAGCATTATTCACAATAATTAAAAGATGGAAACAACCCAGATGTCTATCAATGGATGAATGAGTAAACGAACTGTGGTATATATATACATAGAATGGAATACTATTCAATCATAAACAGTTATGAAACTCTGATACATACTACATGGATGCACCTTGAATACATTATGCTACATGAGAGAAGTCAGACACAAAAGGGCAAATATTGTATGATTTTACTTTTATGACATGAAATATTTATAATAGGCAAATTCCTAGCGACAGAAATAAGATTAGAGGTTTCTTAGGATTGAGGGGAGAGGAGAATGGGAAGTTATTGCTTAATGGGCACAGAATTTTTATTTAAGGGTATTAAAAAGGTTTTGAAAAAACATACTGGTGTATTCCACAACATTGTATCATGTAATTACCACTTGAAAATGGCAAAAAATAGCAAATTTTAACACATATATTACAATAAAAAAAAAGTAAAGGTTTGTCTAGCATTTAATAATATACCTTTCATTGTTTTTTTCTGGAAAGAGTGTGCAAAGATACTTAACAACCAAATGTAATGTGTGATCCTTGATTGGCTCTTGCTTTCTAAATAAAACGCCTATAAGATACTCTTAGGACAAGTGGGGGAAATTAAATCGGGAAGGGAAATTAGATACTATCATGAAATTAATGATCTTAGGTATAATAATGCTACTGTTGTTATATAGCAGAACATCTGTTCTTAGGAGATACATGCTGCAATGTTGAAGTGTTAAGCGTTACAATGTAACTTACTTTCAAATGGTGACCCAAAAAAGGGTGTGTATGTGTGTGTGTTGTGTGTGCGCGCGCGCGCCTTTTGCAAGGTTACAGTTGCGAGAAGCGTAGGTCTCCGCCACCGAAGCCTTAGACTCACAAGCCAGGTCAGGCCAAATTCCGCTGCGCGTAGGGAATCGGCACAATTGGGGCACAAACGGCGAACGCAGCAGTCGCCCTGGGAGCTCCGGCCCAGCTCAGCGCACCAGCCAGCATGCCCCATCCTGATTGGTCCACTTGCTCAGCTCGCCGGCACCCCTATATCCAATTAGCGTAGCGCTTGCTGAGCGGCGGCGGCAACCGACGTACACAAGGGGCTGGAGCGTTCTGTGGAGAAAGTGCGAGGTCAGGCCATGAACTTGGGGTAAGCTGGGGTAAGGAAGGTGGTCGTCAGCGGAAAGGGGGGCCATGTGTATCTGGGTTGTCCCTTGGAGTCTTTAGCGGAGAACGTTCCCAACCTGCGCCGCCGAGAGGGACACAGCCCAGTTCTCGGGTAGAAGAGCGAGGTAGACGGGTCGGCCCTTAGCGACTCCACAGACCTTACGTTTTCACTTAATGACTCGCATTAAAACTGCCCGTGATTTCCGTTTCGGTCCCTTATTTACCTCAGGATGGGGAGGGAAGAGAGCTGAGGAGGAAAGGAGAGAAATGACGAGACAGTTAGTGGAAGCGTGGAGGCTCCTGGGGAGGACTCCTGGCCCACGCCCCGGGTTCTTCGCCACCTTGTTTTTGGAGTCTTGCAGAATGTTGGAGCGCCCAGATTAGTTTTAGGTGCACGAGGCGGGGAACCAAGGCTTCTCAAGAAATCGATGTAGTACCAGTGCCTAACACCTAGTAGGCGCTCCTTACGTAGGGGTGAATAAATAAAAAGGACTGGTGCATGGTCTTAAATCACTCGCAGGTTTGATATTTTAAGATGAAAAGCCACCAAACTCACACTTAACTACACATCGTTCAGCAAATGTTGTTATGTTTTAGAATCTGAGGATATGGAAATAAATAAGATAGCGTGTCCCTTAAGGAGATTACAGTGTAGTGCGTCATTGAAGATACTTTACCATTCAAGGTCTTTTCTTTCTTGGTGACGTTTCACCAACATAAACATGATCTGTTCATAACCCTGCAATAGGGAAAGCCGTAAAACCTATTCTTTCCAGTGTTTTACCTTTAATAGTTGAGGTAATTTGATTTCCCCTACCTGAGCAGCACCGCAAATTTCGCATTCCTAATCAGACCTTTCCCAGCCTCTCTCTCCCTTGACTGGCTTGCTGGATTTAATTTTCTCTGAATTATGGACTGTATGTATGGGCTGCCATTTTTGTTTTCAGTGGAGTTTTAGGACCTTAACAGACATTCAAGTTTTGTTGGCAGTGCCTGCTGTTACTTTATGCCTTTGCTTTTGACATACACGTATAAATATACTAAATATCATACTAAATATCAATATGTATTATTTGAAATATTCAAAGTGGTACTCTTTGCTCAAGCAGTTACTAAACTTGATGGCGTTGTTAGTAGTCATTTACGATGCTCCAGCACTCCATAGAATGTGTTAGTCTTGAGTTCATTATGAAACTAATGAATGGTGGTTAAATATATCTTGCTCCTTTAACTTATGTGAGGCGTTTTGCTAACAGCATTATTTTTTCCAGTCTAGAATTATAAAAAAAAAAAAAGGTGGTATAACTGAATTGATAGTTTACCAATAACAAAATGAGGTTTCAGGTTAATGATAACAATGCTTGTATTATTGAAGAGTTTCAAGAATTTTCCCTGTAGTTGTGGGTTTTATCTTGGATTGCAAAACGTTTTTAATAAAAAAACTGGTTTGATGTGTACAAGATTTCTGCATAAATTCAAAATAATGGATTTATTGTCAAGGTTCAAATGAAAATTTCTGGTTATTTAAAATGTTGCGGTTTGTTAAAAATGAGAGACAACTTTCTTTTTTTATTGCAGAGATGGTTTAAAGCTTGAAACTGAATTACTGGATGGAAAAACCAAGCTAATATTGTCTCCATATGGTATGTTATGTTACAGAAATCTGAAATGTTAAATTTTAAATTCGTAAATAAAATTTATATTAGTTCAACCGACTTTTTGCTTGTAATAGAGTGATATTTAAATATTTTGAAAAAAGCTGTTTCCTCAAACTTCTTCAAATTTACTTCTAGCCAAATCGGATTACAACACTGCTTACTACTGTCAGTATTCGGACTCATAACATTTAATGTCCCAATGTAGTGCGTGTTCATTATATTTGCATATAGCAAATATCCTTATTGCCTGAGGAATAATACAAGTGAAATTTATGTAATTATGTTCTTTGCACGTAAAGAATGTATCATTTGAGAAAAGTTTATAATAAGACCACAGTAAAATGCTAAAGTCACTTTTAGTATTCGTTTTTAATCTCAGTGTACTTTGGTATCTTCTCCTTCGCATTTTTTTCTGTTTATATTTTTCCTTGGAAAGATAAAAACAAAAATAAAATAGAAGTAAATACTTGAACTGGATTAGGAAAGAACACTCAGTCAAGATCTAAAGTTAGTGCTTTCGAGGATAATGTTGCCACTTTAAAATCTTACAACAATATTAATTACAGTTTTCTTGCATGACCACCTTAGTATGTTTTTGGTGGACAGTTGAGTAATTTTTTTTTTTCTTTTGTAGAACGTAAATCAAAAATTTCTGTGAAGGTAAGCCATATGACTTTGACCTGACATGTTTTTGAATGTAAAATGCAGTTTTCTTTACAGTGGTTAGAAAATAATTCCTGGGAAATATCAAGTGTTGTGAGGGATTTGGAATTATAGTGAGAAGTTATTTTCTTGCTTTCAGATTGGTCCTTTCACAGAAATTGAATCATTTTAGGTTTAAAAAGCCCAATAGAACCTCTTCCTCTAGGTAAGTGCTATTCAGTAAAGCGTCTGTATTAATGGAAGTGTTCATTAATAAAGTCATTATTATCGAATATGGAAGCCACTAGTCATGTGTAGTTATTGAGCACTTAAAATGTAGCTAGTATGACTGAGCAACTGAATTTCTGATTTCCATTAATTTTTAATGAAATTTAATGGATAATGGACTGTACTGGACAGTGCAGCTCCAGAGATCTTTAAAAATAGATATTCAGACTTTAAGCAAATGTTTTTTCTTTTCATACTCAAAGTCCATTTGCCCACACCAAAGGGGAAATTTTTTTTTTTTTTTTTGAGACGGAGTCTCGCTTTGTCACCCAGGCTGGAGTGCAGTGGCCCGATCTCAGCTCACTGCAAGCTCCGCCTCCCGGGTTCACGCCATTCTCCTGCCTCAGCCTCCCCAAAGGGGAAATTTAATTCACAAATTGTAGCATGCATTTAGCTTTTTCCTTTAAAAGGTTGCACTTGAGCTTAAGGGTAGTTTTCCTTTTAAATTATTTTCCCTTATCAGGAATCTATTGTGCTTTTCTTCTGCAAAATACATTATCACTATGTTTATTTTAATTTTTGAGACAGAGTCTCATTGTGTCACCCAGGTTGGAGTGTAGTGGCATAATCATGGCTGCATATCTTCCTCCTCCAGCCTCCTGAGTAGCTGGGACCATGTGCATGAGCCACCATGCCCGGCTAATGTTTTAAATTTTTAGTAGAGATGGAATCTCATTATGTTGCATAGGCTGGAATTATCATTAAAAAAATTTTTTTGAGGTTAGGCATGGTGGCTTACGCCTATAATCCCAGCACTTTGGGAGGCCAAGGTGGGTGGATCACCTGAGGTCGGGAGTTCAAGGCCAGCCTGGCCAACACGGTGAAACCCCATCTCTGCTAAAAATACAAAAATTAGCCAGGCATGGTGGTGCTAGTCCCAGTTACTTAGGAGGCTGAGGCAGAAGAATCACTTGAACCCTGGAGATGGAGGTTGTAGATCGAGATCACACCACTAGTGAGCCGAGATCGCACCACTACACTCCAGCCTGGGCAACAGAGCAAAATTCCTTCTCAAAAAACAAAAACCAAAAAAGCCAACTTTTTTGATACTTCTACTTTTCTTGTTACCTATTTCTTTTTTAATTTTTAGATTAATATCAGTAGGAATTTATCTTCTCCTCTTCCATAATTTACTACAGCCCCCTTTTCTTTTATCTTTACAGTGTCTTAAAGTCTTTACTTGTCTGTGGATAGAACCCAGTTTGGATGTTGTATCACTTTGCCCTTCAACTCTAAGCCCTTGATGGCTTTACTTGCAGGTTTAATCAAGGTGAAGAAGTTGCTGGAGTACCCAAAATATCCCTCAATAAATAGGTGAAGATGATCAGAACAATTCCACAAGCTACATATAAAAATTGTTTCTCTTTCTCTATCATATAGTTATATACCCTGTATGCTCCCCTAATCACAGACTACAGATTGTATGTTATTCCTACCCCTTTCCCTATTAAAAATTGCAACTAACTGCTGTTATTTGAAACACATTTACAAATACAGTGGCCTTTATCAAGTACCTAGATGAAAAGCTATTTGTAATGGTTGATTTTTATCTTCTCCAGGCTGATTTGTTACAGAAGCCACATTTGTGAAGACATTTTATTGTCATTTTAACCAACTCAAAATATCTGAAGATCCCTTTTATAAGCCTATAATGAACAGAATTACTAGTCTTGGATTTTTGGTAGGCCTATAATAAAGTTACTAGTTTTGGACTTTTGATTACTAGACTTTTAATTTTTAATTAAGAAATTCTATCAGCTGTCAAGAGGTGTTTTAGGATTTTTTTTTTTAAGAGTAACTAATATGTTCTCAACTAATGTTGAGCCTAAATTGTTTACTGCTTTAAAGCAAATTGGGTTTATCCCTATTGCATTTGGGGCTTCAAAATACTGATGCAACCTAAGTTTCCCTTCTGTATTGATTGTTTTCAAGTTTATCTTCCCATATTGATAGAGGTTACAGAGATCCTTCTCATTTCTTTTTGCTCTTCACAGACTATAAACACCAAAATCAGTAGTATTTTCTTCCTTTTTTGTTTTGTTTTTTAGTTTCCCAAATTTCACAGTTCGGCAGCTAGATGTTGAATTCTCTTTTCTGCAAGTTATTCATGAATTCTGTCTGCATAGTGCTTTTCTTTGTTCCTTCTAATGGGGTAAGCTCCTGAGTTACTACAACACCAAAAGTCTTTTTTCTCTTTTTTCCCATTTCCCACTGGTTGAATTATTGTAATCTCCATAGTGTGTTCTTTAAACACAGCTGAACTCTATCTCATTATCATCAAGTTCAACATATATGTGGTCAAAGTGCTTTCCTAATTCTATCAAAATCTGTGCATTTTTCTTTTTTCTTTTTTTTTCTTTTTTCAGACAGGCTCTCTCTCTTTGTCCAGGCTGGAGTGCAGTGGAACAATTATGGCTCACTGCAGCCTCAACTTCCTGGGCTCAAGGGATCCTCCTGCCTCAGCCTCCCAAGTAGCTAGGACTACAGGCACATACCCACACCACCATGCTCAGTTAATTTTTTAAAATTTTTTGTATAGACGGGAGTCTTCCTGTGTTGCCCAGGCTTGTCTCAAATTCCTGGGCTCAAGCGATCCTCCTGCCTCATCGTCCCAGAGTGCTGGGATTATAGGTGTGAGCTGCTGTGCCTAGCCTCTCCTACATTTTTCTTCAGTCCATGGTAATGAAGTAAACTTGGTTACTTGCCTAATTTCTTAGGTTTATAGGAAGAGAAATGGGAAACTACACATAGTCCAGTGTCATAAGTAATTTATTAAAATAATGGATTCTAAAACTCTTACACTTAAAATAGTCTCAAAGATTAGTTGAACTATAAAACAATAAAAAAATTTTTATGAGTATGTCTGCATGTGAGAATCAGTGACATACTAAAAGGTATTTGTAACATTAGTGCTAGGTAGCACATTTTATATGTATATTTTTTGTTTGTTTGTTTTAGAGATGAAGTTTCGCTGTTGTTGCCCAGGCTGGAGTGCAGTGGCATGATCTCGGCTCACTGCAACCTCCGCCTCCTGGGTTCAAGCAATTCTCTTGCCTCAGCCTCTTGAGTAGCTGGGATTACAGGCACCTACCACCACGCCCAGCTATGTTTTTTGTATATTTTTTTTTTAGTAGAGATGATGTTTTACCATGTTGGCCAGGCTGGCCTTGAACTCCTGACTTCAGGCAGTCCACCCACCTCGGCCTCCCAAAGTGCTGGGATTACAGGTGTGAGCCACTGCACCCAGTCCACATTTTATATTTAAAAATGTTACTTTTCTCTGATTTGTACTGGTCTTGGGATCCTGGCCCCATATAAATTGTGAAGTCAGCTGATATTAAACAAGTCCATTGAACATTGTCTTTATAATAATGAAAAATGGCTGGGCATAGTGGCTCACGCCTGTAATCCCAGCACTTTGGGAGGCCAAGGCGGGTGGATCACCTGAGGTTAGGAGTTTGAGACCAGCCTGGCTAAGAAATCCCGTCTCTACTAAAAATACAAAATTAGCCAGGTGTGGTGGTGGGCACCTGTAATCCCAGCTACTCAGCTGGCTGAGGCGGGAGAATTCTTCAACCTGGGAGGTGGAGGTTGCAGTGAGCTGAGATCGTGCTGTTGCACTCCAGCCTGGGCAACAGAGTGAAACGCTGTGTCAAAAGAAAGTAGTTAAAAAAATTTTTTTAATTAAAAAAAAGAAAAGAGGTAATGTAGGTGGTATAATCTAATGACACTAGATTCAAAGCTGGAGTATAGTGGAGTTGTCCTATAACAACTATAATAAAAGTTCCTGAAGTAAGATAATTTCTAGTTGTTGATGAAGATTTGGAAGTATTAAGAGTTAGTTTCTTATGGTTATATTACCTAAATAGCAAAATGGAAAAAAGTTTAGAGGACTGATTTATCACAGATCATATAAATAAAGATAATTGTTGATTTTTCTTGGACAGTTATAAAGAATAAGCTTCTGGTGTTTTAACAGATGGGAAATAAGACCAAGATTGCAAAATGTCCTTTAAGAACAAAAACTGGGCACATTCTAAAATCAACACAAGATACTTGTATAGGAAGTGAAAAACTTTTGCAAAAGAAGACAGTTGGTTCAGAAACATCACAGGCAAAAGGTGAAAAAAATGGAATGACTTTTTCATCCATTAAGGATTTATGTAAACAATGTGTAGATAAAGACTGTCTTCATATCCAGAAAGAGATTTCACCTGCAACCCCTAATATACAGAAGACTAGAAACACCGTAAATACATCTCTAGTAGCTAAACAGAAGCCTCACAAAAAACACATCACAGCTGAAAACATGAAGAGCAGTTTGGTGTGTCTAACACAAGACCAACTACAACAGATTTTGATGACTGTAAGCCAAGGAAATAGATCTCTTTCCCTGACTGAGAATGGAAAGGAGGCAAAAAGTAAGATTTTTCTAAAGTTTTCATGAATTTTGATTTTTTCAGTGTGTGTTTTAGAATGTCAGATTCATTGGGTTTTATGTAACTGTGACTCTTAAATTCTAATTTAACCTGTCAATCTATTAAAATAATTGTTCTTTTAGAGGACTTTCTCTGATGTGCAAAATTATTTTTATAGTTGTGCCATATTTTAAGGTTAGTGCTCAGAATATTAAGAAACCCAGTTTCTGTGGATTTTAGAAAAAATGTTAGTACAAAAAACTATTATATTTATTTTAGAATATAGGAAGCTTTACTCATATTTAAAATAGTTATATGAAACATTGTTAAGAAAAAAACCCATTATGGTATTTCCAGTGAAAATTAAGGAAACTTTACTATGACTATTTGACTTGAGTTGCTGAAAAACACTGCTTTCCTGGCTGCTGCATTTAATCTTCCTGTTCCTCATTCCATGCTAAGAATTGGCAGTACTTTTTTTAAAAAACAAAGTTAACACAGATTTGGAACAAACAGTAGAGTGTTACAAGCCTTCTCTTTCACAAGTCCTGGCATTGCATCATGTTTTTAAAAGCCTTCTAATTTCCACTTTGGGATAAGGAATTGCGAATATGAAGACAATAGAAATATCTAAAATTTTATTAGGCAATAGTGAAATAAATAAAAAATTAACAGTTCACATGGAGAGGCCCCACAAATGGTTTGGGGACCCAGTAACTCCTGTATATTCCCATGATACTCAAGATGGAATTCTTTACTCTCTTGTTATAGATTATTCTTGGTAAAATGAGGGAGCTGGATTTTGTCTTTAGGGCTAAAATTCTAGCAACAACCTGCTTATTAGGCATAATGAGAGATCATATCAACAAAGTTAAAAGCAGAATTTGCCTAATCATATAGACATTCATATTAAGTATGCTTTCTCTTCATTGGGAGAACTAGCACATTCAAAAGAAATCAGAACATTTCTTGAGCCAGCCCATGAGCCCTCTGTAAAACATCTGATTTTGATATTATGGCTGGGACATAGAGACAATTCATGAAAAGGTTTTCCACTGATTTCACAGCTAAATAAGAAAAGTAATGTCAAGGTAATGAGTATTTATCAAGATATTTGTATTTATTCCCCTTTAGATTGTGATTTGTGTTATAATTTTTATTTATTTATTCATTTTTTGAGATGGAATCTCGCTGTGTCGCCCAGGCTGGAGCGCAGTGGCGCGATCTCGGCTCGCTGCAAGCTCTGCCTCCCGGATGCACGCCATTCTCCTGCCTCAGCCTCCCAAGTAGCTGGGACTACAGGCACCCGCCACCACACCCGGCTAATTTTTTGTATTTTTAGTAGAGTCAGGGTTTCACGTTGTTTGCCAGGATGGTCTAGATCTCCTGACCTCATGATCCACCCGCCTCGGGCTTCCAAAGTGCTGGGATTACAGGCGTGAGCCACTGCGCCCGGCCAGTTTTTATTTTTAAAAGCATGTTGGCAAGAGGAAATGGAGATTTGTTTTCTGTTGTTGCTAGCTTGTTTTCTTCCTTATTTGATATAAGAAACTGTAGGACTGTGGTCATGAGCAAGCCATTTAACCTCTGGGCTTCAGTTTCCTTTTTTTTTTTTTTTTGAGGTGGGATCTGGCTGGAGTGCAGTGGCACAATCTCCACTCACTGAAACCTCCACCTCTTGGGCTTAACCCATCCTCCCACCTCAACCTCCCAAATAGCTAGGACTACAGGCACGTGCCACCACATCTATCTAATTTTTGTATTTTTTGTAGAGACGGGGTTTTGTCATGTTGCCCAGGCTGATCTTTAACTCATGAGCTTAAGCAATCTGCCCGCGTCAGCCTTCCAAAGTTCTGGGACTACAGGTGTGAGCCACCACACCCTGCTTCCTTTTTTCTTTTTGACGGGAAGGGAAGCTTAAAGCCACCTCAAGAATTGTTTTGAGAGTTAATTTAAGTAACGTATAAGACATGTAAGAACTGTATAGCACTATGTCAAGTATTAAAATAGATGTAATTTAGTGGTAATTTTAAAACTTGTATTTTACCTCCTAGGTCAATATAGTCTACATTTAAACAGTATCTCTAATCAGCCAAAGGATGAGAATATTATGGGATTATTCAAAAAAACTGAAATGGTTTCATCTGTCCCAGCTGAAAGTAAATCTGTCTTAAATGAACATCAGGATACATCTAAGCAGTGTGAGCAAAAAATTGCCATGTATGTAACTCCTGTCTGTTACTATTGTGTGGTCATCTTTGGAATATGGTTTTGCTTTTCCTTTACTTGCATGTGAAATAGTTACTCTGAATACTTAGAGCTATTTAAAAGCTTATTACTTAATATTTATGGAGTCAGTTGTATAGAAATGTATGATACAGTTTCTATTATCTTTTGTGTTTTACCTTAGAGAGAATGAATGGAAACCAGCTGATATATTCAGTACTCTGGGGGAAAGGGAACGTGATAGAAGTTCGTTGGAAGCAAAAAAAGCCCAGTGGAGGAAAGAGCTAGGTAGGTAACTTTTATACCTTTATTATAGTTTTATTGGGTTAAAGAATATGTATTGAAGCCGGGCGCAGTGACTCACACCTGTAATCCCAGCACTTTGGGAGGCTGAGGCGGGCGGATCAGGAGGGCAAGAGATCGAGACCACCCTGGCCAATATGGTGAAATCCCATCTCTACTAAAAATATAAAAATTAGCTGGACGTGGTGGTGTGCGCCTATAGTCCCAGCTACTTGGGAGGCTGAGGCAGGAGAATTGCTTGAAATTACAGATTTCTGTTATAGTCTTGAAATTTCGTTAGTGACTAAGAAATATCCATTACTTCTTTGACTAAACTTGGGGTCTGCATATCACAATTTGCAAAAATGTGTGACCTAGCAGTTGTATTTCTTAAGAATAGCTATGCCAAAGGCATGAGATGGGCTTCACTCTAGTTGAAAAACTAGTAAGTCTTGTGAGGCCATCACTAACTTGACTGGGATGGGTGACATAGAAAAAGAGATAAGCAAAACCAGGTGAGTGGCTCACATGTAATCCCAGCACTTTGGAAAGCCGAGGTGGGAGGATTGCTTGAGGCCAGGGGTTCAACATCCGCCTGCTGGAGCAACAGAGCGAGACCCCATCTCTACAAAAAAAAGAAAAAGAACTACTTGGAAATGACCGGAATGTTTTGTGCTTTAATCATTTTTGTTGTTGTTGTTGTTTTGAGATGGAGTTTCATTCTTGTTGCCCAAGCTGGAGTGCAATGACGCCATCTCAACTCACTGCAGTCTCCTCTTGCTGGGTTCAAGTGATTCTCCTGCCTCAGCCTCCTGAGTAGCTGGGATTACAGGCGCCCACCACCATGCCCAACTTACTTTTTTGTATCTTTAGTAGAGATGGGGTTTCACCATGTTGGCCAGGCTGGTCTCGAACTCCTGACGTGAGGCGATCGGCCTGCCTTGGCCTCCCAAAGTGCTGGGATTACAGTCATGAGCCACCACACCCGGCCTTATGCTTTAATAATTTTAAAACTCAGTTTACTTTTTTTTTTAAATTTGTCTCAGTAAAGCGCCTCTATTTAAGTCATGTTTCCAGTAACATTCTTGGAATTTAAATTTATATATCATTGAATTTTGTATTTAAAGAACTGTTCATTGGGGGTTTAGTTTTGACTATATCTGTCAGACACAGGATTTTACGTTTTTTACTTGTCAGCAATTAAATAATAGCTAACATTTATTGAATATTTACTTTGTGCCAAGCCCTATATTGAGATAGGCACTAGTATTATCCCCATTTTATAGAAGAAACCAAGGCTTAGAAAGTTTACCAGCGGTTGGCCGGGTGCGGTGGGCTCACGCCCGTAATCCCAGCATGTTGGGAGGCTGAGGCAGGTGGATCACAAGGTCAGGAGATAGAGACCATCCTGGCCAACATGGTGAAACCCTGTCTCCACTAAAATACAAAAAATTAGCCGGCTGTGGTGATGTGCTCCTGTAGCCCCAGCTACTTGGAAGGCTGAGGCAGGGGAATCGCTTGAACCCGGGGAGGCGGAGATTGCAGTGAGCTGAGATCGCGCCATTGCAGTCCAGCCTGGTGACAGAATGAGACTCTATATCAAAAAAAAAAAAAAAAAAAAAGCTTACCAGCAGCTTGCTAACAGTCACATAGCTAGGAAATTCTTGAACTTGAATTTTAACCCATAGTTCTCTACTTCAGAATTCTAGCTTTTAATTCTCTTAATAATAATTGAATGAACATTACAGGAAACTAGAACCTCATGATAATTGACAAAATATAAAATAAGTTATTCCAAAAAAATTGCTCCTTATTGGTAATTGTGATAATGAAATTGTACCATACTTAACTTTGGTTCTGATTAAATTTTTTCTTATTCTGTGTCCCTAAAAAATTATTCTCTACTTCGTGAGTTAATCTCCTTCCTAAAAAAAAGTTTTGATTAGATCCGTATTGGTATCTGCATTAAGAAAGTCATGATTTGTTTACATGGTTCTTTTTTTACAGTTTTTGTACATGTTTTTAAAAAGGACATTATTTACAGATGAACAGGTTGCTCTAAAGAAGAAAGAAAAAGAAGTTTCTGAAAAATGGAATGATCCTTGGAAAAAATCTGAAAGTGATAAAATAATATGGGAAAAACTTCAAATTCTTGACCAATCTAGGGTAAGACATCTTAATTGCAATTTTTAAAATGCTAAGCAGTGTTCATATTACAGAATTTATTTTTAAAGCTTATTAAAAAAAAAAGTTTTTTGTTTTTTTTTTTTTTGAGACGGAGTTTATCTCTTGTTGCCCAAGCTAGAGTGCAGTGGCACAATCTCAGCTTGCTGCAACCTACCCCTCCCGGGCTTAAGCAATTCTCCTGCCTCAGCCTCCCGAGTAGCTGGGACTATAGGTACTAACCACCACGACCAGCTAATTTTTTGTATTTTTAGTAGAGATGGGATTTCACCACATTACCCAGGATGGTCTCGAACTCCTGGCCTCATGTGATCTGCTGGCCCCGACCTCCCAAAGTGCTGGGATTACAGGCATGAGCCACCGCGCCCAGCCTATTTTAAAAAACTTGTCATATTGTTGGGTTTGTGTGTGTGTGTGTGTGTGTGTGTTTTTTTTTTTTTTTAAAGGAACAGGGTCTTGCTCTGTTGCTCGGGCAGGAGTGCAGTGGTGAAATCGTAGTTCCCTGGAGCCTTGAACTCCTGGACTGAAGGGATCCTCTTGCCTCTGCCTCCCAAATGGCTGGTACTACAGGTGCACTCCACCATGCCCAGCTAATTAAAAAAAAAATTTTTTTTAGAGACAGGGTCTCACTGTGTTGCCCAGGCTAGTGTCGAACTTCTGACCCCAAGTGATCCTCCCACCTTGGCCTCTTGAGTAGCTGGGATTGTAGGTGTGAGCCACTGGGCCTGGCTCATAATAGTGTTTTAAAACAGTGTTATTTTGAATTTAATTATGACCTCAACCGGTCTCTATTTACATTCTCTAAGTTGTCTCGTTGTCATTAGGTGAGTGTAGAGGCTCCCAAGCACCTCCTTTGGAGTCTTATAAAGGAGGTCTGCAATTTTTGAAGTGAATACAAAACTCTGCCACTAACTATGTGTAAGTGTTTAGCTATCAAATATACGCATATGCCAAGTGTGCCTTGTGTAGTGCTTTTGTGATTTTTAAATTTTATCTGTGGTAATTTTGGGTAAAGAAACAGTGTCACTGTTTTTCTATTGATTTTTATACTTCTGCTAGCTCTTCAAGCATTCTATCACAGTCTCCTAGCCAGGTGATGGTGGGCCAAGCTGATGGGGCATTCACTACTTAGAGCTAGTCAGACTTCAGCGGTAAGTCCTAAGTGTCAGTACTTTGGATATTTAAATCTTTTAGTGTTTGACCTCTAACCTATTTTCCTTGAAGGAGAGAATCTTAAGTCCTACTTATTTTTAGTTATCAGTTAATTTTTACTTGAGTGTATTATGCTTCATTCGCCTTCATTTCTTTTTTACATTTATTTCCCTTCCTCCTTGTGAACATTTACATTTTAGCAAATGTATTCTGAAAATAATGCAGTGACCTAAAGGGATGGTTCTCCTAAAGATATGATTCTGGTGGTAGATACTTTTGGCACTGTGGCCTAATTAGGTAAATTTCTTATACAACCACTTCAAGTTAATTTTTTTGCATGGCTGTGTGTTCTGCTTCGTGTAGAGCTGACTTGCCTACATTGAATACTTTTGTTGTCTGTTGATAATTTTACATTAACAAAAGGAATGAAATCTGAATTGCATTTGCCCACAATCCCAAAAGCACTTTGACTGAAAAGGCAATAAGGTTGTCTTGGTAGAACTCATTTTGGAAAATTCTATAGCTCTGGGTGATAATTTTAAGTGTGTAAAGTTTAGAAGTTGTATGCAGACACCGTTAAAAACTGTAGCTAAAACTAAGTTTTCATGAAATTGGTGAGGATCAGTTGTTGGCTTTTATTTTCAACATCAGGATAAAAAATCTGTAATGCTAAAAATGTTAATTTCAGTTGCCAAATTTTCAGTTGAAATGTCAATATATAATTTATTATTTCTTACTTTGCATGGCTTTTTAGGTCATTTATTATCTGGGGATAATCCATATCATGATTGTTAATGCAAGTAAAGAACCATTTGAGGTGACTTTTAGGTTTTAAAATATTTCGTATGTATTTTTCAATGATAGTATTTGTCAGCTGATGAAATGATGAGGCTCATGAATTTGGAAAGGAGAACTGTATTTCTCATCAGTGGTTGCAACCTGCAGCATGGCCATTCTGACAGGCTGGGAAGCATAGCCTTTGGCGGGCCAAGAGGCAAAAACTTCAAGGTGGTGGGGAAGGGAACAGGAATTTATGCTGAGTGAAGTGGCTGAATATACATATTTAATAAGCTATACGAGGAGTCATGAATATTTATGAAAGGAGAAAGACGCATACACAATTGAGTTTTATGCCCCTTCATGGGTCCCATGTACAAAAAATGGCAGTGTTGGCATGATCCAAGGGTAGAGTTTTCAGCCCTCTGACATCAAAAAGTGAAGCAGAGGACACAAACCTTTTGGCCAGAAGCATCAAGTGGTTGGTTGGTGTCAGTGCTGGCATCTTTTGAAGGGCTGGTTTCTGTTTAGCCTTTAGGCTAAATCGTGGCTAGCCAGGGAGGGAGGAGGTATAATGTGGTGTGTCTGATTCCCCCATCCACTTATGGCCAAGAACTCAGTTTTCAAGGCACTTTTGGGTCCCCTTGGCCAAGAGATGATCCATTCAGTTAGTTGGGGGACTTAGAATTTTACTTTTATTCCTCATGTGTATCTTTTTTTAAATAATAAAAAATCCCAGTAAAGTTGTTTTAAAAATTTTTGGAAACAAAAGTTGTGGGGGTTTATGATGGGTGGACTAGAAAATGAGACACATGCAATATCCAGGACTGGACAACCAAGAGTTAAAAGAGTATGATTACTGGCTCATTTTTTTTTACTATTTAAATGCAGTTTTTATGTATTTGCATGTGATTGTGGTACAAAATTGGAGAGATGTTATTGAGGGAAAAGGAATTTGCTGTGTAACAAAAAAGCCCTCTTCTCAAATACCTTAGAGCAGTTGTTTTCAGAAATCCCAGCTGTAGCCACAACTATTTATACTATTTGAATAACCTAGTTGGCCTCTTTATGTAATTGGGAGAGAAAGAAGTTTGGTTGTAGGCAGTCACCAAAGCTTTGATTGTTAAGACATGAGGTAATGCATATAAAGTGCTTAGAATAGTGACTGATAACAGAACAAATGCTAATGAAGTTTTGTTCTACTTATAATTTAAAGAGTTGGGGGTCTCACTTTGTTTCCCAGGCTGAACAGGTGCAGTCATGTTGCACTCCAGCCTCGAACTCCTGGGTTCAAGTGATCCTCCTGTCTCAGCCTCTGACTGGCTTATTTCACTTAGCGTAATGTCCTCAAGGTTTACCCATACTGTAGTATGTGTCAGAATTTCATTTCTTTTTAATGCTAAATAACATCTATTGTATGTATATACCATGTTTTCTTTATCCATTAATCCATGGGTAGAAATCTGGATTGTTTCTACCTTTTGGCTATTGGGAATAATGCTGCTATGAACATTGGTGTATAAATAATCTTTCTGAGTTCCTGCTTCAGTTCTTTTGGGTATGTACTCAGAAGTGGAATTGCTAGATTGTGTGGTAATTTTTAAATTTTTTATGTTAAATTTTTACCAATTTTAATTTTGTAGTTTTGTGTTAAAGGATTACACTGCTTTCCACAGCAGCTGTACCATTGTATATTTCCATCAACAGTGCACTGTGTTTCAATTTCTCCACATCCTCACCAACACTTATTTTCTGATTTATTGACAGTATCCATCCCAATGGTTGTGAAATGGTATCATTGTGGTTTTGATTTGCATTTCCCAGTGATTACTGATATGGAACATTTTCCCACATATTTATTGGCTATTTGCACATCTTTGGAGAAATGCCTATTGAGATCCTTTGCCCATTTTAATCAGGTTTTTTTGGGGTTTTTTTGTTGTTGTTGAGTTGTAGGAGTTATATATTTTGTATGATAATCCCTTATCCAGATATATGATTCACAACTATTTTCTCCTATTCTGTGAGTTACTTTTTCACATTCTTGATAATAGTCTTTAATTTTGATGAAGTCCATTTTATCTCTTTTCTTTTGTTGCCTGTGTTTTTGGTGTCTTATCAAAGAAATCATTGCCAAGTCTGATAATCAGACTGTATTTTCTTCTAAGAGTTTTCTAGTTCTAGCTCTTATGTTTAGGTCTTTGATCTATTTTAAGTTTTCTATATGGTGTAAGGTTATAAATAGCTCTTAATATTTTGAGGTATGTCCCATCAATACCTAGTTTATTGAGAGTTTTTAGCATGAAGAGCTGTTGAATTTTGTCAAAGGCCTTTTCTGCATCTATTGAGATAATCATGTGGTTTTTGTCTTTGGTTCTGTTTATATGCTGGATTACGTTTACTGA